TCATGCCAGCAACATCTCAGGAGACCCTGGAGCACAAACAGGAGAGAAAGACAGAAGAACAGATGGGGACCCCTGTGGCCCACACCAGGGAACCAGGACAGGATACTGACCTCCTTCTCCATAGCAATGGCTAAAAGTACACTCATGAGTCACCACTATCCAAGTAATAATCAGCTAAACCCTGAACCCTGAACCCTGAACCCTGCTCCTGGTCTCCCTTTCCTCTCCAGCTCCCCAATTTACTTCTTGCCCGACCCTTCAGGCCCCTCACCTGCCAGAGGAGCCTGTCTGGCCGGAGCACATGCCGTGGTCGGAACCCCCTGGTCTTTGTTCTTTGAGGCCAGGACTCTTCGTTGTGGAGAAATATTCTGGGTCTGAAATGAGTGGACAAGGCTTGGCCTCTCTCTCTGGAGCCCTTGGCTCTACCAACACCGACTTCTAGAGATGTGGGCCGTACTCATACAGTATTGCCCCATGTGGACATGCCATCCGCCAGGACCGCAGGGGCCTGCGTGATCACAGACGTGACGTTGACATGGATGTCACAGATCCCAGGTGAACACAGACAAGCCGCACCTACAAGCCCAAAGCACACACGCACCCCCTTAGCCACGCAGGCACACAAACATAGATGTGGAAAGCAGCACCCCCTTCTCCTGGGGTCCCAGGCCCTCCGCCCCTCCTGCCTGTGCCTCTGGCGTCATGCTCTATTCTCCTCATTGTCTGTGGGGCAGAGTCTGTGTGACCATGTGACGCGGGAGTCGGGGAGGGGGGCGCGGGGGAGCCCAAGGCTTGTCCCCATCTTCCTGTCAGCCCCAGGTGGCTTCCTTGACTGTGGTTCTGCTAAGGGGAGGAGAGAGGTGAGCAGACCCGGACTCAACTCCTTGCGGCCTGTTTACTCCAGACCTGTACTGGGGAACAAGGGACAGAGGCCTGTGGGTTTGGGGTCCAGGAAACAAGAGCTTTCCTGAGGGCCCTCAGTCCCAGGCCCTCCCGTCCTGGGAAGGGCAGAGCCTGGGCAAGGATGCTGGAGGGGTGGGAAAGGGGCAGGATTTATGGCATTTCCCCTCCAGCTGGAAACAAAGGCAGATTCCTGTGTCCTGCGTGAGCAATCCGGTCCCACCCTCCCGAGTGGCTGGAGCTGAAGGAAATACCTCTGGCCTCTGGCCTCACCCAGCCACTTGGCTCCTCTTCCAAACAGTCTCCCTCCTAGCTGGGGCTATTACCTACTCCCAGATCCCAGAGACCCTCCGTCCCGTGAGCGATGGCCACCTTAAGCCCTCAGTCTCTTCTCAGAACTCATTCTGTAGACCAGGCTGGCCTCGAACTCACAGAGATCCGCCTGCCTCTGCATCCTGAGTGCTGGGATTAAAGGTGTGAGCCACCACTGCCCGGCTCCATTCCATAATTTAAGAGAAGCAAAACTCAGCTCTTTCCCTGCCTCTTCCCTCCTTTGGTTTGCCCCTGCCTCACTTACACTGGTATAAAAATGGGCACACACTTTGTAGGGCCTGGTGCAAAACAAAATTATGTGTCCTTTGTCCCAACACCATTTAGAATATTTTAAAGAATTTCAAGATAGCAGCAGAAGAGTGTTAGATCAAGCACAGAATGTCTGCGCGTGCCTGGCCTTGGTCTCTCTCAAGAGTGAAGCTTGACCCAGGTTTGGGGCAAGCACCTGGAATCCTAGCTCTGGTGAGGTGGCGACCATGAGATCTCATGTTCAAGGCCAGTCTTGGATTTTAGGGATCTTTCTTTAAAAAACAAAACAAAACAAACCCACAAAAACCCCACAATTAAGAACTTAATGCACACAGCTGGGCCCTGAAAGGTCAGAGTTCGCTGCCCGGCCTCCACATCAAGTCCACTGTCACCAGTCACCGGAAAGGACCTCCTGGAAGTTCTCCACACCTCTGCTTCACGCACTGCTGGGAAGTTCTGTGCCTCAGATTCTAACTCAGAATCCTCTGGGCCTGTTTCATCCCATTCTGTCCTTGCTGAATGTGGGGAACAGCTGGGCCCTATGAGCAATTAATTCCTGTAGACTTGGACAGCGTCTGTAATTCCTTTTCTATGTCCTCACTGGCCTGAGGCCCTAGTGCTTTCTCCAGCTCTGTGTCCTCCCTCCAATACCCACCCCCGAGGTTCCCTGTGCACTGTGGGAGGCTTGGGTTCACAAGAGTTGCTAATGCACATTGTCCAGAAGGCTGGGGCGGGGGGGGGGTATGGGGGGCCACCCCCATGCACATCTTCTCTTCTACCTCCTAAATCTACTTCACAGGCCTGCCCACAGAAACGCTCCCATCCCCACCGACACTTATCAGCCACTGTGGAGCTCTGGACCTTGAGCTCCTAGATCCGCCTTCCCAAGGAGGCAGGCCTTGGGCTACAGAGGTCCCCTGGGTCCTGTCCCAGGGCCCTCACTCCCACTCCTTAAGACAGAGACACACAGGCTGGAGACCGAGAGAGGTTGGCCGGAAGCCATAGCAGGCAGGAGTGGGTGTGAAGATGGCCTTGTAGCCAGGCTCCCGGTTCCACAGCTGATGGAGTGGGCCACCGTGGCCTCCACACCTGGGAACGTGGGTCCAGGGATCCCACAGTACGCCTACAGGCTGCAGGACGGTCTGCCCTGATGCTGAAATTAGGTTGTGCTGGGGCTCTGGAAATTCTCGAGGCTCACAATTCAAGAAGCTGCCACAGTGTGTGTGGTGTGTGTGTGTGTGTGTGTGTGTGTGTGTGTGTGTGTGTGTGTTGGGGGGGGAGGTTCAGCAGAGGAAGTGACCTCAGTCTGAGCTGCTAGCCATTGTCTCCCCCAGCCTCTATTCCCGCCAGAGGCTCAGACTGAGGAACTAAGGTAGGGACCATCTTTCTCTGTGTGTAAGATGGTCCTCCGTGTACCATGCTCGTTAACACGGAGGTGGGGGGGCTGAACCCCTGGAGGTGTGTGTTACTAGGGCTACAGCAACTAGCTTGGATTCTCAGCCGGTGGTTGCACTTCAGAGTGTGGATACTCACACAGGCTAAGAACAAAACTCAAGTCTTGCCAAGGAAGGCCTAGACTTTCACCCACACTCCCAGCCTGTACAGCAGGGTCGGGAGGAAGACTGTCCCTCATCATCACCGCCGGAGCCCTTCTGCCTCGCTCCCTAGCTGCATGCCCCAGCCCCAGAAGGCTCCATGCCCCAAATTCTGAAGCCCATCTGGTGGTTATCCACCCCCACCCCTCACCCCTGCATCCCGTGGTTGAGGTCCCACCCTTGCTGGACAGAAAGTCCAAAGCAGCCTCTCCCTCCATGCTGGCCTCCCCTGATGCAGAGGGCAACTGCCAAGCCCTGAGGGGCTCGCAGGAGACTGACTCAGAATGGACCTATCTGGACCAATCCGGGCCTCTTTAGCCCTAGGCTGACCCTTGATGGCCAGGACTGAGAAGAGGGTGAAGGGGCTGGAGCTGGGAGGCAGAAAGACTGAAGACGACCAACCGGGGAGTCCCAAAGGGCGGAGCTAACTTTTGACCAGACCCTCCCAGCCCAAACTCGGCTCTCTCTGCCTCAGCATCCCCAGAACCTGGAGTGAGGTAGGTGAGGACAGGTAAGTGGACTGCTCCTTGGCGCAGCTCCCTCCTGAGTCGGGAATCCAGGTTTCTGCCTCTCGGTGCGCGCTACCCTCATCCCCTCTCGGGACCCAGGGTGACGCCTCGGCTACCGCCTCGGTCCCTGCAGCCCTGCCCCGGGACCCACGGGACCCCCTTGCCCAGGTTCGAGGTCCGTCCCCTTCGGGGGCGTGTGGGGGCGCTGGGGCAGCCCCACCGGGGTGTGCAGCCCCTCCGGAGCGCCAGGCCCTGCGGCCGGGAGGCGTGCTGGGCAATAGGAAACGGGTTATTAGGAGGGAGTGGTGGAGTCGGGCCAGGCAGGAAGAAGCTAGAATAAGAAGCATTTTTGCTCCAGCCCCTTCCCAGTCCCGGGAGGCCGCCGCGCCAGCAGCGCGCGCGGATCGAGCCCTTCCCCGGCCCCAGGCCGGCTCCGGACGTGAGACCCCGGCCGGGCGCCTGCGGGGAGGAGAGGCGGGGGTCCTGCCGCCCCGTCCAAAGGTGAGTCGAGGTCGCATTGGGCCGAGCGGGACGACCGGTCCCTGGTCTCGGTGGACCTTTCCTTCGCACGGATCTCAGAGACCTCTCCGGCGGCGGGGCGGCGCGTGGAGGGGTCAGTTTTAGCTGGACGAGAGAGCCAGCAGGCCCCACCCCCCGATTGTGGACACACACCTGCCTCTTAATCCCACCTGAGAATGGGAGGGAGCCGGATGGGGAACCAAAGACTTTTACTCTTGCTAGGTGTCCTGAGGCCTTTAGCTTCTCTTCCCCGGTCCCTGTCCGTTCCCTTAACTCTCTCTTCTATGCTTATCTGTGAAAATAAAGTAGGCCGAAGGATTCTTCCCCCGCGCGGTGCTCCCATGTCCCTCCAGGATGCTGGGTTAACCTAGGGTGACTTCCAACCCTGCTGAAACGCCTCACAGAGCCCACGTTTTTTCCCGACCAGCTTTTGCTAAGGAACTTGCCATTACAAGGCCGTCCTCCTGAATCTTACCTCTAGCCCCAGAAGGTCACAGAACTCCCCTGCCGCGGGTGTCCTTTACATCCAGGCTAAAGGGAATCCTAGCCCTTCCCCGAGGCTGGGATCCCAGACTGTCAGTCTGTCCTGGAGAGGACTGCTCAGGCTGGCTGCTTTCTTAGGCCTTCCTCCGGTGGACACGTTCCTGTTTATGAGCAGCCTCAGTTCAGAGTTAGGGTCCGCCCTCTCTGACCCCTCAGCTACCCTGCCCTGCTCCCTGTCTCCTCAGTTATCTTTCTATGTAGCATGTGGTTTTTCTCGCACAACCTATCAGGTGGGAGATCACTGTGTCCCCGCTTGTAAAAGAGAGGCCCACTTCAGGCTTTGGTCAATGACACCGGGGGACATCATCATGGCTGGGTTGTTTCTTTGAGATGGAACTGGCCTCAGATTCTCAATCCTCCTGCCTCAGGAGGCCCCTGAGAGCTACCGTTACAGGTATGGGCCATCACACCTGGCTTTTCATGCCACTTAACACATTGCCAAGTAACTCTTCCACATTTGCCTAGGAAACGTCACTGTTCTTGTGCCAATCTCGTAACTGTGGGCAATAGAGGCCGGGCTTGGTCAGAGCCGGTATGTTGACCTCTGACCTGCACAGGAGCCTCCCCCAATCTGCAGTTTCCCTGTCGGTGGGGATTTCAGTGACTTACCATCAACTGTGGTGTGAAAATAGTTCACAGGAACTTCCTCAAATAAGGGATTTTTAAATGCATCCTGTCTCTGGAGGGTAGGGAAATCTCACGCTACCTGCCACATGCATCACCGTTGTCTATGTATCCGCGCCGCACACTTTACCCACATGTTGCTGGTCACCCCGTAGCTGTCAGGGTGATCAGACTGACCGCGCATCGCTGCGCTTGTGGTCACGTAACCTTTATATCACTTAACAACGGCCCAAAGTGCAAGTGCAGTGCCGCGGGCGGGTCGGACGCGCCAAGGAGAAACTAAGGCGCTTCCTTTAAGCAGAAAGGCAAAGGTAAAGACAAACACTAAAGTGTGTCATTGTGGTCATTGTATTTTCTTATCGATGTCAATATCTTCTGTGCCTAATACACGAATTAAACTTTAGTGTAGGTATGGTTATGAGCACAGAGGAACAGGACATGCAGTTTGGCCGCCTGTGGTTTCAGGTACCCAGTGTGGTTTGGAGATGCATCCCCTCAGATGGGGGGCGGGCATTTCACTGTACCACTTGGCAGATGCCTAAGACCCTAAAACCCAGGCTGGTTCTGCTGTCTCCCCACCACTGCAGAGTTAATAGACTTTGAGGTGAGTGCTGAAGGCAGTCCTGTGAAGAGCGGGGTCTGTGAGGCCCAGTGAGTGCTGAGTGTGGAAGGCAGTCGAGTTTATCACAGCACTCTCTGCCTGGGGACAGTGTGTGGAAGGGCCCTGTCACCGGTGGAAGCAGGAGAAAGACTGACAGCCGCCATCCGGGCACACCTCCCTCTGGGTCTTCACCTGAGGCCCAAAGACTGAGAAGTCTGGCAATGAACAGTCTGGGCAATGGCAACACTGTGCAGTGAAACCTGAGGAGGGTACCAGTCAGTGACATCAGGGGGACACATTGCTAATGTCCGCTGAGACCCGTGAGCCTTTGTCCTGGGGCTCACCTAACTCTAGACAAATAGGGGAATAGCAATGATTAAGAAGGATTTGCTGCTGGCCACCTATGTTTACCAAGTCCTGTTCAGCACCCGTTCCCCGTAGGGGTGGTGAGGCTCCGAAGAGACGGACCACTGAGGGGCAGTGCCTGGCACAGGGTGAGAACTCAGAGTAGTTTGCCTGCGCTAACTTAACGTTTGAAAGTCATCTAACATTTGCGACCTCTGGCCAACAGTGGCGATGCTCCTGTCCACAGAGGATCTTCCTCGCAGTTCTGCTAAGGAATAAAGGGGAACCATAAGACCCAGATTGCACCCCGCCCCATGCTTAACCTGGGATGGGACGCGGTCAGTGCCATCACATTCCCAGGGCTGGACCAGGAGTGACTTCTGCATCACTGCCGACCTTCCTCTAGGCTGCCGACTCTCCTCTCCCGCACCCATGCTGACCCTCACTCCTCGGCAGCGCCGCCAAGCCTCTGGTCTTGTGTTATTCTCTTTCCTCCCACAGAGATGGGGAGGCACCTAGAAGGAACCAAGGGCCTCTTCCCTCCGGGGCCCACGTCCACCCACCCAGCGATGCCCTGTGAAATGAATGAAAGCAGGGGGAGAGGCCTGGCTCTGTGCCAGACACCTTCCTCAAAGCCTGGTGCACACCCAGATGGATCAGAATTCCCTGGGGGGACTGTTTGCAAACACATGCTTCTCTTTTCTCTCCTTTTTTAAATCCCCTTCTCCCTTGGTTTTTTGGAGTCATGGTCTTGTTCCGTCACTGAGGCTGGCCCCAGCATTTGAAGTCTTATTTGGTATTCCCCATCCTCCTGTCTCAGCCTCCAGAGTGCTGGGTCACAGGCACATTACCACCGTACCCACCCAAAGTACGCTCCTCACTGGTCTCAGACACTGTGGCATGGGTGACAGAGCAAAGGATCTACATAGCTCGCCCACCGTGGAAGGTTCCCAAATGCGGCGGAGAGGCAGGGGCACATGGGAGCAGTCAGGGAGGTGGCCGCTGGTCCCAGAAAGATGTCTCCTTGCCAGCCATTCCCACCTCATGGCCCCTCCTCAGCTACTTTCCGGCCAGGTGAAGTCTGCCAATGATGACTTTCTGCCCGTGGCCTCGGGACCCCTGCAGAGTGCTTGTCAGAGTCTTAACTGGCCTCTGGCAGGGGCAAGAGGCAGAAGGTCAGGCAGAGGCTGGAACGCAGCTGCACAGCCCAGGTCTCTATTTCCTCCCCCGGACCGGGCCTCTGGGGCAGAGGAAACCCAGGCAGGAAGGCCAGGGCTGCCACTAGCCAGAAAGGCCCACCAAGCCCCCCGGTCTGACCCTACACATCCTGCTCCCTCATCTTGGGTCTTCGTTTGGTACCAAGATTGGAACATGGGCCTCTGTAGTGTGTGTGACTGGGTGTCCAGCCCTTCTCATGTCTCATCGCAGGACACTCCATGCGTTAGCTCCCCGAGCTGGGAATCCAGCCTGTACACTCTGCTGTTAGACAGTCTGTGTTTCTGTCTGACCCCTGGCCCTCCTGCTACAGGCTCAGCCCCTACCTACCCTCTGGTCCCGAGGCTTTGAGAAGTGAAGATCGACACAGCTCTAAAGCCGTAGCTGATCGGGGTCCTGAGTTCCGGGTTGTCACAGGCCAGACTCACTCCTCTGGCCAGTGTTCATCCAACTTCTGAAGAGTCAGACCCCAGGCGACTCTGCAAGGTCAGACATTCAGTGCCTAAGTGTGTTTCACTTCCTATACCACTGGCCCCTCCCCCACCCTTCCCCAGGACAAGAAGAGAGAAGGGGGCCCAGACGGCTCTGAGGGGGATGCAGACCCCATACACCTAGGCACTGTCAGGCTGGGCATGGCTGCTGCGTGCCTGGGGATGAAGAGGGGGCGCTGACCCCCCTGGCTCAGGACAGAGAGAAGGAGCGGTGGGGGAGGGGGTTCCAGAGTCCCTTGTGGGACTCCTGGTACCGCAAGAGGATTCTAATACCTGGAGGGGAGGGTTCTAACTCCTCCCCTGGCTAAGCCTTCCCCCTTCTCAAAAACCGCAGCTGGGAGGGGAGGGCGACCAAGGGGGTCATGACGCCACATGAGCTTGGTGACCTGATGTTGATTCCCCAGACCCATGTAAAGGTAGAAGGACAGAACCAGCTCCCCAGAACTGCCCTCTGACCTCCACGCTGGTACCTTGGCACACGGGCCCTTAAACACAGACGCAATAATAACTGAATGATATGAAAGTAATAATAATAAAATCATGAAACTGGAGCTGGGGTTGATGGTTTGTAAGGTCCCGGCTCCAGGTGGCCCCTTTAGACCCTGTCCTTCTCCCAGCCTGCCCTGGGCTCCCTGCTGTGCGTGACTCCAGCCTGTCCTATCCAGACCCAATCTAAACAATCTTGATTCCTGTTGCCGGCCTGGCGGGACCCTGAATGGCAGGAAGTGAAGACAGGAGCCTGTTTATGTTTGAAGCAGCCAGGCATAGGGGGGTGAGGGGGGGCACTGGGAAAGGGTGGGCAGGGGTGGAGGCTGGAGGGGTGGGCAGATGGCAGAGGACAGAGAGGAGCTAGGAAAGAGATCTTCTTTCCTCTGCAGCTGTGCCCTTCTGCAGCGCGCCTAGCCGGGACCCCGCCCCAGCCTGCTCTTGTCTGAGCTCAGCAATGGGGCACAGAGCCGGGGTCCCCTCTGGCTCCCATCATTTAAACACAGCTCTCCACCCTTCACCCCCAACAGATGGTTTCCATGGGGAAGTGAAGCAGGACTTCCCTTGCAGGCCCCGCCCACAAGTCGGACGTAGGAGTGGGGAGGTGGCTGCCCTGCCTCCCCCCTCACAAAAAAACTCCCAGTGATTTCCTCCTGGTAGGAGGGGACCTTGCTCACCACGGCGGTCACATTTTGCAGATCTCACCAGATCTCACCGTATCTCTTCTCCTCCTGTCTCCAAGGACCATGACCTCCGAGATCCCCAGAAAGGGCCTTCTGATGCTGCTGGTGGCCTTGGGCCTGACCAAGGGTGAGTGTGGGAGGGGCAGTGTGGAAACAGGGGTCTGAATGGAGGAGGTGCCTATGGACTCGACCCCCAGGAGCCTGGCTGGAGGGCAGACAGGCGCCTAAGGACTCGACCCCCAGGAGCCTGGCTGGAGGGCAGACAGTAGGTGCCTATAGACTCGACCCCCAGGAGCCTGGCTGGAGGGCAGACAGGCGCCTAT